CTTTTTTTAAAGAAATTTGTAACATTTTGAAACCATTCGATTTTGAATATTTAATTTCAACATATGTTAACCATGTACTATACAATCGTATTTAAACTACATACAAATAACCTTTCCCCTTTGAGTACGTATATATTAAGCCAATCAGTCGATTAAGAATTACTAATAAGCTGATTAATAGATTAAGTTGACTAATAACTTTCACATATTCATTAGAAAACCTATGTTTAGGCATCAACAAAAATGAGCACCGGTTATATCATTGTAATGCATATATAGAAGTTTTAGTCAACTCTTCCCAAAAGTAAATAAAGAATGATAACTTATTAGCAGAGGAACCTCTACTTTGTGCCACCTCCAAAAGTTTTATTTTGCTTCATAATTGAACATGCGAATGATCTTGGTCTATAATAACAAATGCATATAAATTGGTCACATATTACATACTATACTAATTAGTTTAAAAAAGTTTATCATTTACTAAAGCAAAATATTATTTGTATAGTTTGAATACACACACATATTGTATAATTACTACGTACTTTCCATTTGTAATAGGGGTGGACTCGGGCCGGGCGGTCCGCCCCGGAACGGCCCGGACCGGTCACTATTTGAACCGGCCCGAACCGCCGGCCTGGACAGGGACCGGTTCGGGTAGGCCTGACCCGCTTGGGTTCCGGTCCGGGCCCCTCAAAAGGTGAACCGGCCCGGCCGGTTCGGGCCCGGTCCGGGCCAATTTAATTTTTTTTACTTTGTTTTGAATTTTTTTTAAGTTTTGGGTTGGGCTGGGTATTTTGGGTCATTTGAGGTGGTTTGGGGTGGTTTGGGGGTGAGGGGGGAGGGTTGGGGGTTAATTAGGAAAAGCCAAAAAAAATATAAATTGAACCGAGGCCCGGCCCGGGCCGGTTCCGGGCCTCCCCTTTCATGAACCGAGGCCCGGCCGGGCTCGAACCGGCCCGAGTCCACCCCTAATTTGTAATATGAAATACTTCGTACTACCTATGAGGCTATGATTTTTCATTGGTAAGAAACTCATATCAATATGTAATGTGGATATTATTTAGTTTTCCATAGTTTGAGACAATAATGATTTAAAAAAATGATAAATCACAAATGTCGAAATTGGATTGTGGTTTTCCAAAACATATCATTCAATCGTTTATTCTTCTTAATCTAACATATAAATTACTCACCGAAAAATATGTTTAGCCGTCAAAATTTTTTGTCACCATTTGATGAGGATACCGTGTATTACTTCATACAATATAATATTGTGCATGCATGTGATGTTAATTAGTTAATATGATTATTTTTTAATCTAAATTTGAAAATCGAAACCTCACTTGTATGAGTTAGTTAATCTATTTAAGGTTCTTTAGAGTTTTTATGGAATTGTGCAAGTATACTTAGATTCTCAATAGGAAATTTTAAGTAAAATTCTTTTGAGTTATTAAGTTGAAGTATATAAATATAGGCATAATTCTTAAAAAGTAGTTAGTTCCATATGCTATAGTAATGACTATAATAATAAATTTATTGACCATAATTTTATAGTGACCATATGATATACTCTTAGTTGATTTAGTTACAATTTATCCATAAATTCTACTCCGTGTAATATTTAAGGACAACCTTATTTATTGTGCATATTATGATGTTTTTACTTGGGCTGTAATTTGCTGGTCTGATTTGATCTGATCTAAACTGATCCAGTTTCTTTGTATTTTTATAGCTTACCAATTAGTTTGGTCTGGTGTGATTTGGGAGAAATTATAGTCCAAGAAAAAAAAACATCCTTAGTAACGTTTGGAAATTGCTTCATTTTTTTAAGAAAGAAGATTTTATTGATGAAAAGAAAAATAATACATGCTCTAATGAGAGAGGCTAATATAAAAACTAAAATAATTATAAATTATAGGGAAAACTTCAATTTAAGGACATAAATGAGGAGCAAATTAATGATCAACCAATAGAAAATGCCACTGCCCAAGACAAAACACTGAAACAGTAGCTCCATGTATCAGAGTGCTTTTGTGTAGTCCCCGGTTAAAGTTTGATCAATACAATGCCAATCCCCACACATCCAACTCCATGTGCAACAAAAACTTACTAACAAATGCTACCATTAGCATCTCAACACCAGATACAAAGTTTTTGACCGGCCAAACCACCTAGCTATTCAGCTGCCTGCAATAACCCAAGTAAAAAGACAACTCAATGACATAGATCTCCAAAATGAAATACAATCAACTCCAAAAAAAATAAAAACTGAAACTCCTAAGAGCAGCAAAAGAATGGATGAATAGCACACTGCAGAAAATTGATCAAACTATTGGTGAACCGAAAAATGTCTCTATTGAAAGTTTTCACACTTCTAGTGTTTCCTAAAAACCCCTTTTAGAAAAATAAGAACCTGTTATGCCATTCGTATACTCAACAACTGGAAATACATTTTATTTGATTTTAGAACCATAGCAGCAATTATTTAATATTCAAGATTATTATTTTAACTCATAATGGGAAAGAACAATACTATTTTGTCAAAACTGAAATTCAGGTTTTGAAAAGTAGGGAAGACAATCTATAGATGACTTACCAATTAAATATCCCAAAAGCCAAAAGCCAAAAACCAATGACCTACATGAAATCAAAAACAGAATACGTTAGCCAAACATGTTTATAACCTCATAATGTTTTCACAAGAAAATTAGTTAGAAGATATATGTTACAGAGTATTATATAATTCAACATGCTTGTAACCTCATAATATTTTCATTCAGAAAAATGCTTTCAAAATTACAAATCAATCTAGCTTTTCCTCTCTCCTTATAGAGACATCATGAGAATTCTAAACCTTTATGATAATACTAAACTCCTAAGACATAATAATAATACTAAACTCCTAAGTATTTGGATATCAATCAGTTGATATATAAAAATATTCATACCTTATGTTGAAGATTATCCAAAAGCCATCGCAGGGCCCTCATTCCCTTATCAAGGTTACTGCCTTTACATAATTGGAAAAATTCATGGTCAACAGAATATCATGAATGAGCACCGCAAACATTGAATTTCACAAATAAAAGAATCTATTCAGGCAAGATGGATAGAAAACCCGAGCATAAATGGAACCCGAGCATATATTAGATAACCATATGGCCATACCTTTCCAGTAACAGCTAAGTTTGATAAGTTCAATTCCATAGGATCAACTTGTTGGGAAGCAGTCTTTGGTTCAGAGTGGTTTTCATTTCCCCCCTACAAAATACCACAAGACTTGAGAGATGAGAAAGATTCGTTAAAGACTTAATCCAATTTTTGGATTAAGAAGCTAAAACGATTAGTAATTCCATCACATATTAAAATAGAGAAAACAGAATAAAGAATTCAGATCATAAGTTTGATTCTTATTTCATGTTACATTTCTAGCCGATTGAAGTGAATGGTGGTGAAGAAAATGAGCATACATGAGAAAATCTGGAAGCCATGATGCAGGATTTGCGTGCACAGTGAAATAATTGAAACAATGCATATATGTATTGTGTGTGTATGAGTGACATTACCTCATTCCCGATGTTTTATAAGGTTAAAAACATATGAATTAGAAAATCTAGGGTTCTGAATTCGAATTCCATTTGGAATTGTTTTTACCTGGAGTTGGGAGAGAAGTCAGGTGCAACCGTGCAAGTATTGACATCCTTGCGTAAGAAACTGAAACGGATGCAGGGCAGGCTAGGTCAATCAAAGAAAAACTTTAGTAAATACAAATAACAGTAGATTGAATATGAGAATTTAAAATCCACAAAGTACCTGAAAATGAATATTGTACCTGAAAGACACATAGGATGACATTTTAGGACTGAAACTGATTTGGATGGTGAAATGGAGTGGACGAAGATGATGGATATAACACGACTGAATGGAGTTCGTGAAGGTTAAACTCGACGGCGGCGCTGAGATTGATAGGATGAAGGCAGAAAAAATGGGGGCCGGGGTACTTGGGTAAAGCAGATTGATGGAAGAAGAGAAAATAGGAAGGGGTGAGATGAAGATGTGTTAAAATCGGCGACTGCGAATGAGAAGATGGACGATGACGATGAAAATCGTGTTGGAGAAGATGGACGGTGACGATGAAAATTGCGTTGGGCGGGAAAAGGCTTGTCAAAAATGTATTGCTTTTATGTATTAGATGTTTTTTAGGAAAACCTATAAATTGAACTCAAGATAACATAGACGAATGCTTGTTTTAACTCATATGCTCTCTCGTTTAACTAGTGTTGATCATCGTACCAATGATCATTAGCGTTTGCACTCGTCGTCTTTGTTAAATAAGTTTTTCTTTTAAAAAAAAAAGAAATTTATAAGACAAAAAAAAACGAATATTTGAGAATTTTCGGTGCATCATAATCATCAAAATAGATGAGATGAGGTTGGTGGAGTGGATAATTTAGTTGACCATTCACCCCAAGTCATCCTTTTGTGAAGATCTTGAGTTCAAGTTCCGTGAATGGAGATGAGAGAAGGTTTTCCTCATGAGTATCCTATTATGTATTATTATGAGAACGCAGATAATAACATGAATTTTTTAAATAAGGATGTGATAGGTTTTCAGTTTGGTATTCCAGATTGAAATTGAGTGAACACAAAATTTCACATATTTGTGGAATGTTATCCCATTATTATCTCAGTTGTGTTTTCTCATATATCTCGTAGTACATACGATAGTATATCTTAGTTGATATAATAAGGAAATTGCCTGTAAAAACGTTTTGCAAATTCTGAAATATGACTCTTATGTTTTTATTGTCATGTTTTGGCAATACCAGATTTTAAACATGATAGTATTTTCCGATCTTCCCAGTAATGACTCATATTTAACAAATAAAAACACGATAACACTACTTTAGAATTTCTAAACGTTTTTACACTTATTTCAGAAATTTTCAAAACCAACATATATTTTATCCTCCTTTCTACTTTCTCTAAACCAAAATATATCAATCCTAAATTCCTAACCTGGAGCTTTTGAAATACCCAAATTTTCAACCCTGACCTAGGACTAAACTCATCAACTCAAATACTGTACAGAGCATCTTTGCTTTTAGTAACATTGTAAACACAATCACAAACAAACAGTAGAGGACCTAGGGGATCCTAGGGGTAAGTGTCCCGCTTCCAACCACGAAATTTAGTATTACTGTATTAGTACTTATGATAAAATGAGTGCTCCCTGTGAAACAAATTTTAAGTATTTACTTAAAATTGATCGCAAATAATAATATATGAAAATATCGGGTACAATCTCTAAATATGAATCCTCTGATTCTTCACTTGTAATTTGATATGAATATAATTAAAGAATTTAATTTAAAATTAAATCTCTAATTCTTCAAAACTCGAACGTTCTTCGATTCTTCGAATCTTCGTTCTTGAGATCTTCGAATCTTCGAACTTCGTTCTTCAGATCTTCAAATCTTCTTGAATGCAAAATTCAATATTGAAGGGCCTCCGGTTTCAAGTAGCTTGATCTTCAACAAAGGGGCCGTTATGTGGCTTGATCTTCTGTTAAAGGGCTTCCCGGGATATATGGCTTGATCTTCAATTGAATATTGATTCAATCTTCATATGAATATCTTCAAATCTTCAAAGATTCGTTCTTCATATCTTCGAATCTTCAAAGCTTCGTTCTTCAGATCTTCGAATCTTCAAGCTTCGTTCTTCAGATCTTCGAACGTTCTTCAACTTTTGGCTTTGTTTGATCAAGAATCGATGAAATCACAAAGGATTATTCATATATTCTTGACAAAAACGTGGCTTGATCTCTTCCTCTTCTTCGGAATCCTTCAGAGCCTTTCGAGAGTTCTTCAGAGCTTTGCTGCAGCGTTTTTTCGTCTGGAAGTTCTCTTTTCTTTCTCTCAACTGAGACCCCTATTTATAGGTGTGGAGGGGGTGAAAATATGGATTTAGGGTTTAGCAAATTCGTCCATATCCCTTGGGCTCAAGTGGAAATGGGCTTCGGGCTCTATTTTCTTGTATTTTAATAGCCAGAAAAATCAGCACTTGTACAATGTATCTGGACAGCTTTCTTAACAAGGTTCGGAGCTATTTTCCATGTACATGGAAGGATTTCTTGGCCAGATTCGTTGACCTCTTTATCAATTGGATCATGCCTCTTATATATTGGGCCGCTATTTGATAATGGACTCAAAATTAATAGGACCAGTCCATTCTTTTAAAGACTTAATTTATAATTAAATTAATTGGACATTTGAGCGATCCGAATTAACTTAATCACTAAATTATATCCGAATGGGCCCATATTAATATTATATTTTATCAGGCACAATAATCATCACAAACAGCTCAGTAGAATCCGATGTTGGTCCAGTAGCCTCCAAAAGAGACCCAATAAGGCGTATAATAGTCCGATAATACTTAAATGAGCTCAATAATATTAAGGACCATCATAAATAATAAGTCCAAAATATTGAATAATTTTCAATATCCACAAATGCCCCCTCGAGACTTGCTTGGATGTACAGATTTTATTTCCACGAACAAGTGAGTCTCAAAAATTGATTTTAGTGACCTATCAGCTGTATGTAGTTGACAGATGTACTCCCAAATCCCAACTTTGACTTAAAGTAGGAATTCTCAATTGCAACTACGGAGTATATTCCAAATTATACGAACGTACAACCTAAACTAGGAATTCTCAGATGCATTCAAACAATAGCTGGAGGTACCTATTTATTCGGATCATTAATTAAGAGGTTCCAAATTGTATTTCATTCGGACTTTCTCTTCTATTAGGAATTTTATCATTCTGGCTGATTTTTAAGATCCGAATTCCTCTCATAACTGTGTATATATACACCCAGCTGATCGTCTTTTGCATCTCCAATTGTATTCCCGGCTTGTAAAAGATTGATGAAAAAAAAAAAACCTGTAACCATAAAGCTGATCGAAATCCCTGAAGCCATAAAGCAATAGGTGAATTTCCTTTTCCATTCTTTCTCTATACAGTTGTTTTCTTTTATAGTACTGCAGGTGATATGTGGCGTCGTTTGCTGGAGGGAGAAGAGTGGCTGGTTGTTGATGCCGTTCGTTGCTCTTGGGAGAAGAACTCAATCGATCACTGTCGCTGTAGCTATCGGAAACTGGTGTCGCTACTTCGCTGGCTTGCTGACTTTCTGGTCATTTCGCACTTTCTCCAAGAAGAATACGTTTGGAAGTTCTGGAGTGCAAGGAGTTGGCCGCCGATGCTTTCATGCCTCTGCCGATTTGGTTGCTAATTGCTGGTGCGAAGAAGATGCGAGAGGTGATTCCTACCGAGAAGAGGACTGCGGCCAGAATCTTCCAAAGTTGTGGCGACTTGCTTTTGTTCTGTCCGCCGGTGCAGAGAAAAAAAATGAAACCAGTTCTTGAGATAAAGCTGGATCGCTGATTGAGCTCCGAGTTTTTGACGATGAGCAGAGTAGAATCACTCCAAAGTTGCTGCTGCCCTTGGCGTGAATGATCAGATGACGGCACGTACTTGTTGGCAGGACTTTCCCTGCTACTTGGGCCTTTTTGAGATTTGGATCTTCTTTTTTTTTTTTTTTACTCGTATTAATAATAATATAATACTTGGAGCTATTTTTATCACAACGCTGGATTTTATTGATGCCGCAGTTCAAAGATGATCCAAGAAGGTTAAAGCAGAGCGGGAAATTTGTCGCTCTCCAGAAGCAGGTAATCGGATGTCTACGCTAGTTGATACCATCAAGACTTTGAAGAAGCTACTGTCCTACTCGTTCTGATTTGCCGTCGCCATTCGATAGCCAAGAAGAAGTTCAATTGATTACAGCGAGGAAGATGAGAAGGTGCCAATTCGTTTAAAGAAGAAGACAATGAAGGATTCCATTTGATGGATAGCCTACCCGGGGGTATCTTATCCGAAGGGTTATTGCGGAAATAACTAGAGAGAAGTCAGAGCAAATAGGAGGAGAGAGAGTCGATTTTATTAAATGAACTCGAGATGTGGAGCTGAGATGTAGATTGTGTCCATTACAAGGAGAAATGGGCTGCTATTTATAGCAGCAATAAATGCGATGAGAGGACACGTGTCAGTAATCCAACGGCCGAAGGGTCACATCAGCCTGGTGGCACCGGCAGTGGTACGTCAACCGCATTGAATGCGGTTGGCGGATGTGACGTGGCATTAAATGCGGTGGTTGGCTGTCTCTAAAAGGAATCTTCGATGATTGAGCTTGTTCAGCCGAAGGCTCTTCGTGTGGTCGAGGGCTCCCCATGTAACCGAGGGCTCATTGTGTAGCCGAGGGCTTCTTGTGTGGCCGAAGGCTTGGTTCAGCCGAAGGCTTACCCCTGGTGCCGAGGGCATGAGAATGCCGAAGGCTTATGTCTCCGCCCGTTTTTCTCCCAGCAGCTTCTTATGCCAGAGAGGGCTATCCTGTGAGTTTTGAAGCCTTCGGCCAAGGAGGCCGAAGGCACCCCAGTGTGTATCCTGGGCCACTTTGAGGCTTGGGCCGTTGTTTTTGGGCCTGAGTTGTTTCCTGAGCTCAGTGGACTAGTGTAGGAGAAATAGGAGTCTATGGGCCGGGGGTTCCTGGGCCATATACTCCATCAGGAGTCCCTCACTCCTTTTGCCGAAAGGTACTTGAGGGAAAAGGAGTAGATGCGTTGATTCTTCTGGGGGCCTCATCACTTCGCTGGGTGCCTTTGCTGAAGAACTTTGTCTACTGCTGATTGCCGGAGGCTTCCCTCAGTCCCTCACATGTCGAGGGTTTTCTGAGGGAAGTATAACACCTGTATGATCGTAGGAGGCTTTCTTCAGTCCCTCACATGTCGAGGGTTTTCTGGGGAAAGTATAACACCTGTATGACTGCAGAAGGCTTTCCTCAGTCCCTCACATGTCGAGGGTTTTCTGGGGAAAGCATAGGTGTATTGCCTGCGTGTGTTGTGGTGAGGGCTGCTTTATTTCCGCAAGTGACTTGTAGAAAACTTGTGATATCCTGCCTCTGCTGAAGGGGTTTCACTTTGATGTTTGTCCGGAGGCTGCATGCGTCAATTGTAAATTGTTTGTTTCCGTGAAATTTTTGTTGTGTATGATCCCCGAGGGGTGTATGCTAGTCCCCCACTCCTTTAGGCCAAAGGGGAGTTCGGGCTGAAGGAGTCATGATGAGTTGATGATCCCCCGAGGGGTGATATTAATTGTCCGAAGGGTGTGGCGGGTGATAGCCGGAGGCTATCATCCGAAGGCACCCGAGTGTTGCCGAAATATAGTCGTTGCAATATAGCCGTTGGAGGAGGAGTTGACGTGGCACGCTTCCGTTGGTCGGTGGGGGCGGGGGCCATCCATTGGTTGAACCGGCGGCCCGTAATGATGGGCTTTCGAACCGAGGCCCATTTTTCGAGGCCCGGTTGCCTATATATACCCCAAGTCTGAGCTCATTTCCGTTGCGCGTTTTAGAATTGAAGCGAAGCTCTGCTGAAATTTCTAGAGAGAGAAAGTTTCACCCTCGATCAACCCAAGCTTTCTGAGGTCAGTTCCTCCTCTGCTCCCTTCTTTCCTAGTTTTAGTGTTAGTATTCTAGGGAGCCCTCGGTTTCTTTCATTTCTCCTGCTCCTATCTTCTGAACGCCTAAGGATGTCGTCGGCGAGTGACTCCCAAGACATTTCCGTGGAGGCCCCGGTTCAGTCGGAGAGCTACTCCGAGGTGGAGTCTTCAAGCGAGCAGCCCTCCGTTGGGGATGATGCCGCCGTAGCTGAGGAAATCCAATCCACTCTCCGGACGGAGCTAGAGGCCGAAGAGTTCGAGCAGGTGGTGGCAGATGAGGAGATGGCCCTTGCTCTGCAAATCGCTGAAGAGGAGGATGAAAAGGAGCGCCGCCAGGTGACAATTGCAGTCATGCCCTCTCGGGGTGCTGGTGAAGCGAGCACCTCCCGGCCGTTGGACGTGCAACCTCTTCGGGTAGCCGAGGGAAAGAAGAAGAAGAATTCGAGGGCTGCACCCAAGAAGAAACAAGCAGCCGTTGACGCGGGGCAACCGGTTGGGATCCCCGAGGGTCACTCCTATTTGGACACCACCGCCCTCGAGGTGAAGACTACGGCATCGGGTACTGAGTGTCAGGCACTACAGATATTCGTCGGGCCTTCGGCGCAGGTCGTGGAACCGGGTCCCGAAGATCTGCTCTCTAATCCTCCCGAGGGGTGCTTCGCGGTGCACATGCTGTCGGTAGAGCTAGGGCTCAGATTCCCCCTGCACCCCTTCGTCATAGAGTATCTGAAGTTTGTTAAGTTAGCCCCCTGCCAGCTCACGCCCAACAGTCATTATTATCTGGCGGGGTTCCTAGCTCTCTGTCGAAGCCGAGGGGTGGTCGCCACATTGGACCAATTCTTCCTCTCATTCAACCTCTGCCGGGGAGGTCATACCCATGCCGGGGGGTACGCTAATTTGCAGCAGGTTCCGGCCTGGAAGCTGTTCTCGGAGACCCCCTCCTCCCACAAAGATTGGAAGGAGAAATTCTGCTACATCCGGATGACCGAAAATCCGTTCCCGGGGGCTCTGAAAAATCATTTCAAAAGGCACCCGAAGGTAGGCAGTGCGGCCCTCGACAAGGCGGGAAGGAAACTGATCCAGAAGCCCGCGGGTTCTGAGAAAGTGATCGCCATTAAGGAAGCGACGCTACCCGAGGAGCTCTATCTGTTGGGCTTCCGAAGATATCGTCTTCCGGGGGAAAAGGACGAGAAATACCCTGAAATCGATCGAGGGTATCAGAATGCCAGAGGTTGTCCACCGAGGGCTTTTGTTGTGTTACTTAGAAAAATTATCCTTGTCTTTGTTTGATCCTAATCCTTCCTTCGTTTTCGCAGGTGACATAATGGACGTTCAAGCCTTCGCCCGATTATCCAAGAAGCTGGCCCAGGTGCCGAAGAAGAAGAAGGACGAGGGGTCCTCGAACCAGCCCCTCGTCGATGAGGTGTTGAAGAAAGCAGGGGCTCCTAAAGTCCCGGAGGGTGGGGACCCCTCCAAGAAAATTGCCGCTGATTCCGGTACTAGTGCCGGAGGCTCCCAAGCCGGGGAGCTTAAGAGAAAAAACACCGGGAAGGGCTCCAAGCCTCCGGTGACTAAGAAGCAGAAGGGGGCCGATGAAGGTAAGGGTGCCCCCCTTGTGATCCTTGAAGAGCCCTCCTCCTCGCACCTGGTGGATCTTGACGAGGGGGCCTGGCCGCAAGAGACGGTGCGGTTCTCCTTTAAGAGGGGGACTGCCATCGTGCACGGCACCCTCGATCCGAGGGAATATCTGAAGGGTGCCACTCCCCCTTTGGATTGCTCGACCCTCGGTAAGTTCGAGGACGAAGCCCTCGAGCGAAGAGCACTCGAGGCCTCGGTCACTGTAAGTCCCTTCCCCTCGCTAAGCTTATGTTTTGTTTTCTCATATTTTCTGCTTGCAGGTTCTGACTTCTAGTGTCCCTCCTCTGCTTGCAGGCTAGCCTGGCCTTCGGTGAATATGTCCGGAGAATGGAGCAGCTTCGCCTCCGGAAGGCGGAAGACGACGAGGCCCTCAAGAGGCTTGTCGTCAAGAACACCGAGGCCATCAGGAAGATGGCTGAGCTGGAGGAGGCCCTGAGGCAGGCGGGCGACAAGCTGGAGGCCGTGAGGGTGGAGGCTCGCGCCGAGGGGAAGGCTGAAGCGGAGAAAGCCGCTGCCGATGCCGCCAGGGAAGCAGCCGAGGAAGCTGAGAGAGCAAAAACTGAGGCCGCGGCCAAAGCTAGAGAAGATGCCGTCGCCGCATTTGTATCTGAGGGTTGGAAGGCCGAGGACCGCAAGGAGTGGGTGGCCTCGGTTATAGAGCAAGGTGTCGATGCCTGGGTGAAAGGCCCCGGATCCGAGTGGATGGCCTTAAAGGGCAAAGACTACTTTGACGGGGGCGAGTTTTTCACCCAGCGCCTCATCTACCGGAAGCTGGCGGAGCACTTCAAAATCCCCAAGGACAAGTTCGACCCTTCGGCGTATGGCCTCCCCCCTCAGCAGCCTGATGTTAGGGTCCCCCTCCCAGAAGGCGAGGAAAGGGTTCAGCTTGCGGACTCCGAATTAATGAGGGAGTATGGCCTTCATGATGAAGAGGGTGCGGAAGATGATGCGTCCTCCAAGCCGAGGGATGACGTGGTCGAGGATGCCCAACCTTAAGAATTTCTTTTAATTGCAAGCTCTGTAATAGTAGTAGGCCCCGGCTCCGGCCATGCTTTTGTAATGAAACACATTTTTGTACCCCAATTACTTTTCTTGTTGAATGAATCATTGCCTCCGGGTTTTCCGTATGAACGAATGCCTTCCTTCATTCTGAACTTCAATGTATGCCTTTGTTTCTTTTTGTGTTTGTGTATGAATGTATGTTTCTTCCCTCCTTCCATATGAAAATCTGCTTTCCCGGAGGCCCCTAGTTTGTGGACTTAGAAAATTTTTCTAAGTGCCACTCATTGCTAGCCCCTGGTTGTAGCGTAGTATTGCCGAGGGGTTGCCGCTGTGGACTTTAGAAAAAAAATTCTGAAGTGCAAATTCAATCATGAGCCCCCCGATCGTATTTGTCGGGGGCTTGTCGTTGTGGACTTAGAAACTTTTCCAAGTAAGTTTTTGTCAGAACCCTCCGGATGTAAAGCAGAACCTCAGAAAATAATCTAAGTAAAACTTCATTGGAAATCTTCGGTAAAGAATCCCTGTAATGCCTCCGGGGGTGAAGTGATAGGGCCGAGGGCTAAGATGTTTTAGGCTTAAGAAATTTTCACGAAGTCTCCATAGATGCTGTAGTGAACCTTCGGGTGTGAGAACTGCTCTCAGCCCCCGGTGCATATGGCTGCCGAGGGGTTCGAGATTATGGACTTAGTGAAATTCTGAGATGTGTTTCCCACAGTTCTCGCGCGTAGCCCTCGGTTGATGGCTTTTAGCAAAGTTGCCATAGGTGTCATTGACCCCTCGATTGATGGGGCCTCCGCCGTTGTGGAGTTAGAAATTGGCAATTTCACCAGGCGAAATTGCATCTTGGGCCCCCGGAAATGCTGAGCCTTTGATCGTTAGTGTATCAGCGAAGTCCATGTTGCCCACCGAGGGCTTCTCGTTTGAGTGAGTGTGGTAGCTTTCTGCCCTCGGCTTTAGGCCTCCGGTGGAAATCTTGTAGTCCAAGGTTTCATGCAATGAAGCCTTCGGCTATGTAGCCAGATGTTCTGTTGTTGGGAAATTTTCTGTCGCCTTTGGAGCCTTCGGGAATGTATGTCCGAAGTGTTGAGCCTCCGGGGAGAATAGTATCCGAGGAGTTCCTTCCCCCCTACACATCATTTTTTTTTTTTTTTTTTTTTTTTTTTTATTTAGATGGTGTAGGAGAGGCATCTAGAAACTTGGTTTCTAGGAAAGGCTTGGCCTATATGGGAGGCAACGGAACAAACCGCTGGCTCCCCCTTCGGGAATGACCTTCCGATATCCCGAAGGGTTTGAGGGTCGTTTCCTCGGCCCGAGACATCGTCTGTTGCCTGCTTCCCCTTGGGAGATAGCACGGAAAGCGCCTCGGTTTTGAAAGTCGTCCCCTCAGCCCGAGACATGGTCTGTTGCCTGCTTCCCCTTGGGGGATAGCGCGGGGAGCGTTTCGTTTGTGGAAGTCGAATCCTGGGCCCGGGACATGGTCCGTTGCCTGCCTCCCCTTGGGGGATGGCGCGGAAAGCGTTCCTGGGAAGGGTTTTATTTGTGTGTAGAACACAAATGGCCGGGGGCACTTGGTACCAGCCGGAGCCGAGGGGTGTTGCACCCCCCGTTTTTTTTTTTTTTTTTTTTTTTTTTTTTTTTTTTTTTTTTTTTTTTTTTTGTAGGAATATGTAAAAGTTTTTGAAAACACTTGGTGTTTTCAAAGAGTGATGGGGGTGACCCATACACTTGGTACTTGGTACCTAAATTGTTGTTCCTCCTCATAAGAGGGAGTGGCCTTGGGCGTTTTATGGTGAAGAGATGAGGGCTTGGCCGCTCGTGTGTAGGAGAGAAGGGGGCCTTGGACCGCTTGTATGATATGTAGGTGATGAAGGCTTGGCCTTTTGATTATTCTTCAAAAACAGAAGGGGCCTTGGGCCATTAATATTTACACTTGCTGAGGATGAGGGCTTGGCCGCTCATGCCTTATTGATAGAATTTGACAAGGTGGCGCACATTCCAATGTCTAGGGACCTCCGTCCCATTGGGGCGTTTAAGCTTGTACGTCCCTGGTTTGATGATGGCTGAGATGATGTAGGGGCCCTCAAACTTGGGAGCCATTTTTCCTCCTTCGGTGGGTAGGCTGGCTTCCCTTCGTCGGAGGACGTAGTCACCCACCTGAAATTCTCGGGAGCGGACCTTGGCGTCGATGTAGCCTTTGACTTGTCTCCTATAGTTTTCGGCCCTGAGGAAGGCTTGCTCTCGGCGTTCCGAGATGAGATGAAGGTCGAGGGCCATGTTGGCGTCGTTGACCTCGGGCTCATATTGTTCCACCCTTCGGGTCGGAAGGGTCACCTCTGTTGGAGCCTTAGCCTCAAAGCCATAGCATAGGGAGAAGGGTGTCTCGCCTGTTGCGCGCCGAGGGGTCGTGCGATAGGCCCATAAGATGTTGTGAAGTTCTTCTACCCAGCCTCCCCCTTCGGCTTCCAGCTTCTTCTTCAGCCCTTCAAGTAGGGTTCGGTTGGCGTTCTCTACTTGCCCGTTGCCCTGAGGATAGGCAACGGAAGAGAATGTGTGCTTGATGCCCCAAGCTTCAAGAAGGGCACAGAATGGGGCTGCCTCGAACTGAGTCCCGTTGTCGGAGATAATTTGTTGGGGGACGCCAAACCTTGTGAGAATATTTTTGAGGACGAAGTGACGGCACCGGGCCTCCGTGATGCTGGCGAGGGGCTCCGCCTCCACCCATTTGGTGAAGTAGTCAATGGCCACAATAATGTACCTGTTGTTGGAGGTACCCCTCGGCAGAGGGCCTACTAAGTCAATCCCCCATCTGGAGAAGGGTATAGCGGTGCTGATGGGGGCATAGTTAACCGCTGGTCTGCCGGGGGCTTTCTGAAAGTGTTGGCAAGCGGTGCACCTCCGGGCTAGATCAGCACAATCTCTAGCCATCGTGGGCCAGAAGTAGCCTTGAACTATGAGCCTTCGGGACATGGAGAAAGGTCCCTGGTGAGCTGAGCAAGTGCCACTGTGCACTTCCTCCATGGCGATTTCGGCCTCATCTTGATGAAGGCACCGAAGGAGGGTGCCGTTGTAAGATCTCTTGTAAAGCCTCCCGTTTTCGATGGTGTAGCTGGGAGCCCTCAGCTTTGCTAACTTGGCGCGGGCTTCGTCCTGGGGCAGTTGCCCTGTGGTGATGAAGGCGATGATGTCAGAGATCCAGTCCTCCGGCCTTAGGTGGATGTCCATGACGGGGCTCGCGTGGATGCTTGAGAGGCTGAGTTCCTCAATTCTCGCAATTTTGGAAAGGTGCTCGGGGGATTCATCCGAGAGCTTGGATAGAATGTCGGCCTCAGAGTTTTGAGCCCTCGGTATCTGGGTGAGGGAATGTGCCTCAAATACCTTAAACAATTCTTTGGCTGCTTCCTTGTATTGCTTCATCCTTCCTTCCTTGGCCTCATATTCGCCGGAGAGTTGGCCTACGACTAGCTTGGAGTCGCACTTGACGTGGATTTGTTTGGCCTTCAGATTTGCGGCCAGCCGAAGGCCACAGAGCAGGGCCTCATATTCGGCTTCGTTGTTGGAGACTTTGAAGGAGAATCGGATGGCGTAATAGGCGCGGAAGCCCTCGGGTGTGATGAGAACTACTCCCCCTCCGCATGCTTTGGTAGCCGAGGAGCCATCGGTATAGAGGGTCCACCACTCATCGAGGGGTGCCGAAGGCTCCTCATCCACCGCTGATCTTGCGGTGCATTCCGTTACGAAGTCTGCCAGGGCTTGGCCCTTGATGGCAGGCCTCGGACGGATATCTATGTTGTATTGGCTGAGAAAGATGGCCCATTTCACCATCCGAGAGGAGCTAGTGGGACTCCTCATGAGGGCGCCGAGGGGTTGATGAGTGAGCACTTGGACCGGATGAGCCTGAAAGTAGTGGCCAAGCTTCTTGACGGTCCAAACGATGGCTAGCACCGTCTTCTCGATGGGAGAATACCTGAGTTCGGCCTCCCGGAGGGTTTTGCTGACGTAGAAGATGGCATGTTGGACGCCGTCTTCTTCTCGGATTAGTACTGAGCTGATAGCCGCAGGGCTAACACCGAGATATAAGTATAAAGTCTCCCCCACCTTTGGTTTGGAGAGCACTGGGGGAGAGGAGAGGTACTTTTTGAGTTCGTCGAAGGCCCCTTGACATTCAGATGTCCATTGGAAGCCAGCTGTCTTCCTCATGATTTGGAAGAAGGGGAGGGCCCTCTCGGCCGACTTAGAGAGGAATCGGTTGAGGGCCGCCAGGCGACCCGTCAACCGTTGAACTTCTTTGACGTTGCGCGGAGGCTCCATATTGATGATGGCCTGAATTTTCTCGGGGTTGGCCTCAATACCCCTTCGGCTGACCATGTAGCCCAAGAATTTCCCTCCTTGGACGCCGAAGGTGCACTTCTTCGGATTTAGCCGGAGATTGAATTTTCGCATGATGGCAAAGATTTCCCGGAGGTCGTCGGCGTGAGTGCCTGCCTTCTTGCTTTTGACGATCATGTCGTCAACGTAGGCCTCCATAGTGCGCCCCAAGACAGCTTGAAAGACTCTGGCCACCATTCGGGTGTAGGTGGCGCCTGAATTCTTGAGGCCGAAGGCCATCACAAGGTAGCAAAAGATACCTTCGGGTGTCATGAAGGCGGTTTTTTCAGCGTCTTCCTCATGCATGTAGATTTGATGATATCCGCGGAACGCGTCGAGGAATGACATAATCTCGCATCCCGCGGTCTCATCCACAAGTTGATCGATGTTCGGCAGAGGGAAGGGGTCCATAGGGCACGCCTTATTCAGATCAGTGTAGTCCACGCACATGCGGAAGGTAGGGGGCTTCTGTGCGAGGACAACGTTTGCCAACCAAGAAGGATATTTCACCTCCCTAATGTGTTTGATGGAGAGGAGCATAGATACCTCCTTCTTCGCGAACTCCCTTCTCTCGGCCGAGAGGGGTCTTCTTCGTTGCTGCACTGGTTTGGCCGAAGGGTCCACCGCTAGGCGGTGGGTGATAACCCTTCGGTCAATTCCTGGCATGTCCTCCGGCCCCCATGCAAAAACAATGGAGTAGGCGCGGAGGGCTTTGGTGATGCCAGCCTTCAAGTCTTCAGGGA